TTCTACGCTAAACAGAGGAGGTTGAAACGTTAGGGAAAAACGGTGGGGCAAGTAGTCATACCTGGCAGCTTCAAGAGAGGATATAAGAGAACCCCATACGATTCTGGCGTATTGTTTTACTGAATCATTGTGCTCACGTGTATACACTTCAATCAACCAGTGATGTCTTAATGCAAAGTAGTTTACCGTCTTTTCCACCGATTTTGGCTCATTTTCCCAAGCCTCAATTATAAGTCACGCTCCATAGAATATGATTTAAACTGATGCTGACATCATACACTTCATCTGAAGAAAAAAACGTTCCCTGTCTTCGAAAATTTGCTCAAAACAGGAACAACAACGGAAGTCCTAGGCTTTCTGAAGATACCGCTGCCTAGCGTGCGTGTTGATCGCTTTGCAAGTTGTGAGAACATCCTCCCCAGGCTCAAGATCTCGTCTGGTCTCTTCAACAGCCAATGCTGAGGAGTTTTCTTACGGATTTTAATCAGTATAATAAAGGGCTGGAAAATAAACTAACAAGAGTTCCGTTTTTACGCTTGGCTAAATGTATATATTACGTGAGCACTCATGATGACTTGGCAAGAATTCGATGATAGGTAGTTGGCAAGAGTTTCCAAAACTTTGACCTTGATGAATGACGGTGGCGGCTATTTAAGGTTTGTCTGGACCTGATCACCCAGATAGTGGAATGGGAAAAAATATATATATATATTTCCTTATGAACTAAATATGACAAAACTGATTATTTGTTGTCTTGGTGCATTGTTCGAATCAAGCACATGACTTGCCTGAGTGAGGTTTGAGGAAAATTTACCTTTAACTTTTGATGAAAGGATTAAATTATGACACGCAGCAAACAATATCTCTGTTTAAACAGACCCCTGATAATACAATGCTTGCCTACTGCTTCCTGTTCAAGTCAACTTACCAAGAGGCTTAACCCCCTTATTGACTCTAACTGTATGCTTGTCATAACATTTTCCTTTAGTTGCATTGATGGCGCTTATCCAGTCGCAATAGGTTTGTGCTTCTTGATAACTAAAGGTTAGGGCACATATTTCCTTTCCAAATTGGTTACTGACGCGACAAAACCAAACTAAATTTAGGCAAATAGCCTCAGACACTCAATTGCATTTGCATCATTCCTGCACGCAATCGAAGCTTTATGCTTTTTTCTACTTCCTTTGGCGGAATGAAGTCCTTTCACTTCCTTTTGCTCCTTACCTTGGTTGAAACCTCCCCTGTTCCTGAATTAACATCGGTGAGTTAACATAAGCAAATTGCACATAAGACAGTCTCGTTACTCACGCATACGTTCGTGTTCATGTTGTCAATGGATAGACGCCGTGGCCTCATTAGCAGCTGACCCGGCTCTGCACGAGTCAGTTGCAGTGAGAAGTTTGGCGATTTGAAGCTTAGACAAGGTCCTAACGATATAATTGGGTGAATATTCTAAAACTGCAATGGACTACGTAGCTTCGAAAGCTTATGTTGCGAAAAGCAGCTAGATTGAGGAAAAAGCTATTTTTTCCTTTCCTTTCTGTTTGTTTGTCATTTTTGTTGTTGTTGTTGTTATTGTTGTTCTGCGTTTAAGGCGAGTGGGGGCATGTTTCGGGGGCGCATTAGGCGTAAATCACAGAAGTGCTAGAAAAATAAAAAAAGAAATATACGCATAAAAATGAAAGAGGCTCACATTTAGCTACCGTTTAGGAAACGATTAATTTTTTAATCTCAACGAGTACTCAGTACATGGAACAGTTTTTCGTTTTATTCTGTTTTCTCTTTCTTATTTTTACTATTTAGTATAATAGTCAACAACTTAATCATCGAATGGAAATGATAGTAGTCAGTAAGGTTTTGTAGGTCGCAACTTTTTTCTCATCGTTAATTTGGAAGTGTGACTAAAGCTCGTCATATGGACTTCAAGGAAAGTCTTTTTCAAAAAGAAAGTCTACGGTTTTAATTATTACGTCGTCATATCGAAATCTAGTCAAACCAGGAATTCTAGATATAGCAGAAAATGACACACTTCTAAAGTGGAAACATCGCAAAATTTTTCGGTCGACCCTGTAAGAAAATTATCTTAGTCCGTGAGAGTCCGTGAGAGTCCGTGAGAGTCCGTGAGAGTCCGTGAGAGTCCGTGAGATCTTTCTTCCTTTAAAAATTGTTGAACCCAGGCCGCCTGAGTCATCGCGGGCAAAGGAATAGGACTGGGGTTTAGACTTTCACAGTTGAAACAGTAACGAATCTCTATTTCAACTAACTATTATTGAAAGCTGTTTGTTACATATCAGCGATATTTTGACAATGGAAAGGGAACTTGCCACAAGTTCGTTTTGTTATTCGGTGTTCTTATTTCCTTCCCGAGAACAAACATGTTACTTTTTATCCCGGGCCGTATATTAGACATATATTCGCTTGTTGTTTACAACTAGGTCAGACCTTGCACATTGGCAGAGCGTACTTGTGACAAACGATTTTTAAATACTTTCGTACACGTAAAAAAACCCTGCCCAAAATATCTGACAAAAATTAAAGGATTCTTGATGAGGACGCCTTATTTTATTTTTTTCTTCTGAAGCAAAAACCAAGACGGCGGCGTTAATTACTGAAATTCAAAAACACCTGCTGGTGTCATAAAATTCATCAAATTGTTTATTTTTCAGGGTCTTTTGCCTGGCGGGGGTAAAACTTCATACACTGATCTCGTACTGAGGTTTTGTTACAATAATGACGCAGAACCAAAAACCAAAAATAGATACAGGAAGTTTTCTCGAGACTAAACTTTCAAACCTTTGTCTCATGCTTCAGTTTAAGCTGAATTTGTTGTTTCAGAATCGAAAAAAAATTGAAAGCTTACGAGGTAAAAATTTTCGTTCACAGCACCAAAGAGCGGAAGCAGCTAGTACTTACGTGGCGCCAATTTTCAACTTTAATGAAGAGCTCTCTTACTATCTCGAACAATTGAGGGCCGGGTCAGAAAATTATCTCATTTGCAAGTCATCGTTGAACAGCAGTTGATACTTTTGTTGCGTAATAAATAACGGATTGGTAAACAAACTAACACTTGATGTTATCTTGAGAAAAATGCAACAAATGACGAACATTTTGTTTCTAAGGGTTACCAAGGATAAGCTCCGTATTCAATAAAATTCGACTAAGCTTGTCTTTCTCAGTGCTCCCGGAGGATCTTTGACAGCTGGACAGGAAGTTTCCTCACAAAATTACTGCAATTTTTCAGCTGTAGCGAGCGTGTTCCAAATTAATCCTCTCATTTTTTCAGGCCAAGGTCACTATGGATGTTTGGGAACCAAGAGTATCCGTTTTCGGTAAATGGACGTTGACGTTACATACACTGACCTTGGAAGAGTTACTCTCATATTTTCATACACTAAGTTGGAACATCGACTTGGTGAACCTTCGTCATATTTGGCCCGTAGTGAATATTTCAGTATTTTAATACGTGATATTTCGATATTTGTTGTCTCAATATTTGCATTTGAAAAAGTGTTCGTGATCGAAATTAAAAACTTCCACACTGATAAGCATACATTTATGTATGATTAGGCCTCATTGCGGTTTCATAGGAAGAAATTGTCTGCATAACTGTCGAAGGGAGTGTCACAGCTCATCTTTGTTAACCTTCTATTAGCAAGATGAGATGCAACGTCACGATTACGCAATAGTGCGTTGCGTGACATACGAAAGAGCGCCCGAGTGGAGCTATGGCGGAGAGTGGGTGGGGGGGGCATCGTGTGCGTGTGTTTGCATTGGCAAAATTAAACGAAACCAACTCGGAGCTACAACGGTTAAAAGGATAGCAACCTTGACGCGAATGACAGATGACGGACTTGACAATTTCAGGCTGGGCTCTCAAACCACATAGAGAATTTAGTGTATACTTTTTTAAAAAGCAGTTCCCTGTAATTTCACTCTCTCTTGTTTTAATTACTTATGAAACTCCCCCAGGTTGGAGAGCTCACAAAATGCTTCCTGAGGGTACCGATTTTTGGTCGCTCGGGTTCAAACGACGAGCTCTTCTCCCAATCATTTTGGTATCTTCCTTTCGTTATGTTTTCGGGTAAGCGCCAAATGAGCTATGAAACCGTAAGGACAAAGTCCGCGCTGGTTAAATTTATTTCTTTCGTTTTGCGTGCGCTCCCTCGGATAATGCCTTCCGAATCTACTTGATAGAACCTTTACCAGTTATTGTTCGCGTGAAGTGCTGCATAGTGGAACGCGTGGAAGTCATCTAAGGATGCGTCAGCGAAAAATCGATGCCAATACGCAATAGCTAAGAGCATAAGATGCCTTCTAATCGCGCGAGCTTGCTATTTGCTCAGCTTACAAGCTATAACAACGATTGATCTGGCTTTAATTTGAAGTTGAGGATAAGCTTGTTAACTGTTATTCGAGACATTCGCCTCACAGTGCGTTATTGAACTATTTATCCAGCTCCACGAATAATTGTTTTCATTTAATTTCACAAAACTCGCATGTTTGTATAAACGGAAGAGTAGCCGCCCCGAAGTCTTCATGCGGTTTCTGTAACAGTAGTTTTTGCCCGCTCGCATAGACTTGTTGTATTGTATTTTCTCCTCCTCGGATGCTTTGCTTTTTGTCCATGATAATTTTTACGGTTGCAGAGGCGGAAAGAGAGCTCACACCCTTAAAACCGAAACTTAGATCATGTGTCAAATGACAATCATGCGGGTTGAAACTTTCCAGTCACAGTGTGTCATAACAGAGTAATATCGCGAAATATTTTAGCTAATAGGTCATAAATGTAAACCCCCGAGCCGACTTTGTGCTTATACAAGTGATACTGGTTATGGTTTGGATGTTTGGGAGCGAGTTGCTATTATTTTCGAAAGATAATGTGTGTGCCATAAATTAAACTTAACAACGCTATTTTTACGTCTGTTTAGTGACGTCACAACTCCCTCTGCGATACATGAAACTGACCGCCTAAAAGCGCAAACTAATATATTGCAGTTCCTTTGTTATCTGAAATAACATTAGAGTTTCGATGGCGATTGCGATGGCGAGAGGAAAATTCTCTACTTTCGCTCTATTTACGATCGGACTTGTTTTATCGAGTGGTGTCTCATTTCGCGGATTCTTTGTCGAAGGTAAGGTACTTGAAGTTGTCTTGCTTTGGAAACTTTGAAAAGGAAACAACGTGTAGTGAGAGTTAAAATCGACGGCAATATTTCTTCTTCAGTATTTTTCTGTTTGACTGCGAAATTATTGGGATTGTGATAAATTTAAAACTGACTCGTCGTTAAACATTGCTTTCAGGTGCTGTCAGTGTTAGCGAGGAGCTTTTGATTCGACATATCGTGGATAACATAAATCCGAACGTCAGACCCGTATTAAACCTGTCTGAGGCAGTAAATATTACTTTGGACATAACTTTTCACGGTGTGATCGAAATGGTGAGTGTCCTATATTTCAGTTTTTATTGATATCTATAGGAATGTTTTGAAATTTCTGTTCGATGCATCTTTCACCATCGAAAGTATCTATGACTTCCTGTCCGTCTCGTTATTTTTTAATTGAACCAAGTTGGACTCGTAACACTTAGGCATGTGTGTGTTTGGTTGATGGGCAGGAGAGATTTCGTTCGGGCAACAGACAATAACTTCAGGGTATAAACATACGCGCGAGGTTTATCCGGTTGTATGGACCCCGGACTTCGTTCTTTCTTAGCATCCTCGGCATTTTAAAACAAGTACACGCAACTTCCTGAAACACCGTGATAAGTCGTACCCGGGAGAACCGCTATTGAGGAAACCATTCCATTGCAAACCCAATTCAACAAATTTCGAAATAGGTTGTATTTATTCACTGGATTGTGGCACTTTCGCTATTAATAACATGGTTTTATGCAAACGGGGATATTTTACTTCTTTTTGACGGAATGAAACATCCACAATTTGAGGTTGGATTCTAATTTAACATGAGTTTAAAAGGAAATATTCTCCTACTTTATTTTTCCATGAAGAATTCGAGCAGCATTAGAGACAAATTTAGCGGCACGAATGTTGCATATCTTAACTTATCCTCGGCCAAAACAAATTATTAGTGATGCTTTCTAGGTCCGAAGTCATTGGATCGTCAAAGAAAAGCAAGCATAATGTGTGAATACCTGTTAATGTGTAAACATTTTGTTTGCCCTAGAGTCTCCACTTTTAGCGAAGTATGCCTAAATGCGTGTTGTCGCTGAGTGGTTTACAAATTCAAATACTTGATCACAGCTCAGGCACGCGAGAAATGCATTTATCGGTGATGCGTGAATTGTTTGTTCCTCGCCAATGAGTTTATATTGAGGACAACGTAAGAAAGTTTTAGTTTTACTATAGCCATTTCACATTTCACAAATTTTGCCTGAAACCATTTGAAAGTGCAAAGATTTAGCGTTCAAATTACCTAAAAATTGTTGTTTGAATTTGTGCCAATGATTGGTTTACAATTTTTGCCCGAGGTCCCTCGTTATTTCCGTTAAAAACAAAAAATTTAGCCATTAACATGCATACCTCGGTGGAAACAGATTAAAACATTTAATGCGAAGAAAATTATGCACTATCAGAATTATTTTTTATTTTTTTTGGGTATTCATCTGCTGAAACTTTTTCTTTCGTTAGACTTTTCGAATTCAACTAAACTTAGCTCGAGGGACATTCTTATTTAAAGAAAGCTCTCTTGTTCAAAACTCAGTTAAATCTGTACGTGAGATTTTGAACACATGTGAACAGCTCCCTAAGGCTCTGTAATCATTTCGTAGCCAGGTCTTTTTCAAATTGGCAAGTCTCCGACGAGTGCTGATTGATATGTTATTTCGGAGTAGACAAAGGATTGATAAACAGACTGTTTTGGAAGCAACGAAACAAAACATTTCAAGCTGATTGTGTGAAAACTTCAAATTACCAATAGTATGAATTGAATGAATATGATATGCTTCCACGCGTGTAATATAAAGGACGGATTAAATCTATTCTAATCAAAT